TCTGGCGCGAACCTTTCTCCGATCGGCGTTACGTACAGAGGGAGGGGCACACACTTGAACACGGTTCCTTCTTCAAACTCACACGTGCGGGGTTTGATTTTTATCTCGGATAAAATATACACACAACCATTTTCCAATTTCCTACATGGCGACTCTAATTCCACGGCAATCCAATTTGTATGCAAAGAGCTGCGGTATCTTTTTCCACATCGCCACTGTTGGAAATTCACTTGGAAATTTTTATTGCTTGTGTCTGTTGCAATTGCCCAAACCTGGGACATTGACAGTTCGTCAAATAGATATGATATGAAAGGCATAAGTGATTATTTAACTTTGCTGTATTACGTTTTTATGATCAGTGTCACCGAGGTTAAATCGGAAAAGGTTATATTTGCCACATAATTGACAGATGGTATTGCTTTTTTCAAAGGCCCTGCTAATTATGATAAATTATGATTTTGATGATATCAGGCAAAGGAAATTGTTTATTTTAGTGATAGTGAGATTTTACGATTCCAGTCCTGCCAAATGATTGAAAAAAATTGCAAAAGAAAATTTCCAGGTTTAGGGTATTGTATTATTTGGGAAAATGGAGAGAAGGCCTTATTTTAGCTATTCATACAATAGTAGAAAAGCAAGCGTGCCTTATTTCCATGTAGATTGTAGTTTGGGCTTAACTTCAACCCACGTCAAATCCAGGCAGCCAGCTAGCTCACGAATGCAACGCTCTAACCACTAGGCCAGAAGGTCCAGACTGGGCATTGGAATGGGTCTGTCACTGGTGCTGAAACCCTGTGACATTTACCTCAGTATCATGAGAGCATATTCCCCAAAAATGGTTTTGCTAGTGGCAGACTTTACCTGAGCCATTACAAATATGAAATTGTGTCCAACATTTTGCCTCCCCTCAAGAATTTGATGAATCTGCCATCAGTAGGCAAAGCTTCTGCTAGGAGGGAGACTTCCAGTCAATCAGGCCCAAACTGTCACTCATGTTGGTACCACAACGTTATTACTGGTAAGGATTCTGCATCGCTTCAACAAATTGTCGCTGTTTCTCTCGGAAGGCGCAAATGAAATATCCTCGCCGTCCCTGCCAAACGTTTGCAGATGTCAGCCCAATTCATCTTCCCAAACCCCACGGAGGTAGCAACTGGTTTCAATCGACTCCTTTTTTTTAGCACCACCGATCGAGACACTTCAAAGATGCATATTTTGGTTGCAATCAGCATTACCGTAAAAGCAGTAATCCAAATCGACCCTGATATATCTTGTGTTGTGGTCGTGATGCAGCGCTTTCATTACGGGACCCTTGCCGAGGGCAAATTAGAATCCCTGCACCTGGGACCGATACTGTCCTCAGAAAACGTGCCGGTTCCTCACGCCTGGAGGCACAGAGAGATCAGTCACTTGGTTTATCATCATTTTTCTCTAACAGGTGGCTGAGAATTCAAAGAGCTTTACATTTGAGGGTCTGCCTGCCAATTTTTTATCAGAGGTTAACAGCCATTTTAACTAAATGATGACAAAAAATTGAAGCTGATACTGATATGAACCCTCACACCCCTCAAATGCTTCATTATGAAACATTTCTGGTAAAAATGGTTAGGCAATAATTATGCATGTGCACTCACATCTCCTGCATGTAAGGAGATTGCGTAACAGCAACAGCAGGGCTTAGAACAGAAGAGAGCTGAGCTTACAAAGACATAAAGCCACCCTCATCCATTAATCTTGCCCTGCCCTATACCGGCCGACCTCTGCTCTCCCATTGTCCAATACGGTTAGATTTACAAACAGACGTCAGGAGGTATAGTCGTCACATGGATACGCAATAACCCAGTTCACTCAACCGCACGGGGTCGGTAGAAGATGCACAATGGTGACCGCAAAATGAAAATTCACATCTGGAACTTAATATAAGGCCACAGCAAGTAGATTTTATGGATGAGACAAATTTAACATGCAAGAGCACAAAAAAGACAAGTTCAGGGAAATTAGAGACCATGAATATTGTAAAAGAAGAACTGGAAGTAACAAAACTTTCAAGTACATATCAAGCCAACTTTTATTCCCATATTCAATGAGTACATGAAAGTGACACGAGTGTGGCAGCCTAGTGTCACTTAATATCATTGAAAGTAAATAAGATTGAACCATATGCCCCCACCCTTCCACATTATACAGTCAACCCACATGTACATAATCTAATTGAAGTCAATAATGTGCTAGGTTTACTGCTGAAGACATCTAGTATGTATGTGAAATGGCCATATGGTCTTTCTTCTTCTCATTTCACCATATGGTTGTGTTTACATTTTATGCCATGCCTGGCGAATTTGTTTGGTCTGTACAGTATTTTCATAGACAAAACACTTCCTTCCCATAAGAACTCCTTTGTAGTATTCTTAATGGTTTGTCAGTAAATCTAATCAAGCGTAATGCTTGCACTTGGAAGTGCCAATTATGCAAACTCAGGTCTGGCCAAATGTATGCAGTAATTAGAAATCAGGAAGAGAAAAAGACTGTGACATTGTAAACTTGCAATCACTAGGATATATTTTAATAATAAAAATCAAATCGTTCCAGACATACTAGCATAAATAAAGGAAAGACCAATATGTCAGTACCTGGGTGACACCTGTTAATTAATGGCATCCCACAGAATGGCCTTAATGAATCAGTGACTCAGGCAGATGTGGTCGTTAATGAACTACTATGACCTTGCAATAACGTCTTCCTGTGGTTGTTAATGAACGACCACGGCCTTGCAATAATGTCTTTCTGACAATGACAAATAGTAAGGGCTTCTCATGTTGTGACTTGCAGCCATATTGGATATTACATGTATTTTTTAAATGTGCCATTTTTACCTTCGTGAAAAATGGAGCTATTGTTTTTTGCTATGTCTTCATATGCCTGTGGTCAGCATAATAACCCCCTTGTCAATGTTTCTACAATATTACATCTGTGTGCATATTTAATGATCCAAACCAGCATTAGAATATCTCATTATCAGCTATCTGTAGTTATGGTAACAAAGGATTTTTCAAAACGTGCTTGTTGTTGTCACTCATAGCTAATGAATAACCACATGAAAAGTCATGTTGTATACACAATCATGCTATCAAGGCTTTTTCACAGTTGCTATTTTCAAACAGTTAACATGAAACTTTACCAGTGTTGCTACATATTGGTCAACTGTTGAGAAAAGAATTTTCGGCCGTATCCACACATTAAAAAATACATGTTTTCATATTTATCAAATTCAGAAATTGTTATTTATTGAAGATCAAAATAGCCAAATTGTAAATCATCCCTAACCCTATCATGCCTTTATCGATTACTGCTTTTTTGGAGACAAAGCTACTCCGACAACTGATATGCACACATGGGCCATAAACTGCTTTGTTTGATGTCAGACTCATTTATATGGCACATTCTGGTGAAAGACAAATGAAGGTCTGTTGGTAATGATGAAGGCAATCTTACTAAGAGGAAACATGATGTGTGGGGGCCTGACACATAACGCTTTTATGTGCTTCTGATCTAATTAGCAACATCATCTGTAGGAAGCTGCAGATTGGTATTATCTCCAAGCAGATGTAAGGGTGTGGCTCAGTTTTAACGTTTTACCTATTTTTTTTCAGACACTACGTACGTCTTTCTTTCAGATGTATAGTTAATGATTCCAGGACAGGCTGTGCCAAAAAAGTACAGTCCAGAGTTCGCAAGAAGCATCTGAATTTAGTCCTACTTGGAGGCGTTAAAAGGTTACACTATTAAAACAATGTCTCCAAAGAATCAGTTTCTCCAAAAAATCCTTAAACTCAAGCAGACTCTCACATCTTGAACCTTGAACTAGTATTCGGTACCTTCTGTACCATGGGTTATCAAATAATTATTGATTGAATATGACTATTTCAAAACTTCTGATCGTAAAGATTTTGAAAGAGATTGGCTCAAGGTTTATTCGTGATTTTGATGTATTTTGATAAGGATACTAAAACATTATTGCATCCTTGCTCAAATCTATCTTTTTCACATGATGTAGACCAGGTTTCTGTTCCAGATTTTTGTTACCTCATATTTTTGGTTTACCAATAAAAACTACAGATTATTTAAACCTTCACACTATATACATGTAGTTCATAGTAAGACACTCTGGCATATTTCCATGAAACTGCCTGTCCTTGGCAGTGAATGCTGAATGATCAGAAGCTCTCCCAGAAGATCCTGCCGGGATTTCCTGCAGTGCCACGAATCATGTTTGCATATTGAAAAGGAGTGTCCTTGAAACAGTTAGAGTTCATTCCAAATGCATTAAAGGGGAATGATAAGAGGTCTGCATG